ACCTGATAAAAAAGTATTTTCTGTATCTTTGAGCTTAAAATGTCCTGTGTTGGCATTCAGCTTAGTGACAGGGAGCTCAGAGAATACAAATATAAAAAGCTGCTTAGAAACCTGTATGGTTTTGTTACAAGTCGGGCACTTGGATCTTCTGTTAAACACAGAATAAAAACATCCATAATAACAAGAGAAAAAAAAAAAACAAAAACCTATTTCATCATCTTTTTGCTTTCAAACCTATCCAACCTGGGAACAGACAAACAGAAAAATCAGATCTTTCTCCAAAGAACCCAGCAGGTTCTGTTCTGCACACCAACATCTCCTTTATTACAGTGCCCACAATGCACTTCCAAAAACATGGAAATAATGTAAAAAACAACTGAAGCTGGGGGCCTTTAGAATGTCTTCTGAAATACACAGTGTAGTTGCAGCCAAAACTGAATCTGTCCTAAAGAATTACTGCTTCTCACACATTTAACCTATGAGAAGACAAACTCCAGCAAGTTGCATTTGTAAGCTGCAAAAAGTAAAATCATTCCCATGTTTATTCTCAAGACAGTGCTTGATTTCTATCTACCTTAACTTGAATCCTGTAACCTCAGGGGAAAATAAGGAAAATTATTTCCATAACTTGGTATAACCTTAAAAGTTCTTTAAAAGATTTAAAAAATCACAGAGCTATTGTAAGCACAAGCCACCAGATCAGGCTACCCCTACACTCTGCTGAGCTATGAAACAGAGGTAAGTGCTTGTCCATGGAAATCCCGTATGTATGGAATAATCTTATTCAAACAGTTTTCAGTGCTGTGTTTACATACCTTGAATAAGTCTCCCATCAATGATGTTTCTGAATCTGCTTTATTAGAAGCAACTGAACTCTCACCTAAGTAAAAAAAAGAGAAAAAACAAATTTAAGACAACCAAGATACTGGCAAATCCTCCCATTTTACAAGCATATGGAAGCATTCTGGTTTTAGCCATTCATCCCAGCATCGCTTCCCAGTAAAATAAGGCTGACAAAATTACTTAATCTAATCAGATAGTGCATGCAAGGATCCTTAGCTCAGGAAACCGATCTCATCCACAGCCTTATAGGAGCAACTAACTGTGATAATCTACACAGATACACAGGGCCTGAAATAATCAGGTACACAATGCCCACAAGTTATCATGTGTGCAGCCTTCTGTGAACTTAACATCATTAATACAGAGCCTAATTCCCCTGAAAACAGGATTTCAGCTCAACACCCCCCACACCCTCAAGCCATCACCTGTGCTCTCAGAGCAGAGAAACCCCTGGGGTTCCTTGCCAAGCTTTCCCTTCTTCCTTTCACTCAAGCAAAGGTAAAAGTGAAACGCAGGCAGCAGCAGGGAGGACTGTGCAAACCCTGGTGTTACAGCAGGGACTTCGGGGGGCTTTGTACAGCCAGCTCACACTGTAAATCATGGCAGGCTAAAAATGGCCGGGTGACAAATCTGGAGATGAAATTATGAGCAGTCCGTTTGCTCTTGTATTAAAGGAGTAGTAGCTGCGAGCAGGGCTTTGCAAAGAGGCCCTGCTCTCCTGCAACAGAGGACAGGGGAGAGATGTACAAAGTATTTGCATATAGGATAGGAAAAAAGCACACTGAATGAAAACTTCCTTAGGAAAGGACACAGACACACACACCACCACCCCCCCGCCAGGCCCCCCGCAGCAGGGCTGGGTGTCACCTCTGGGTGCCAGCATGAGTCCTTCTTTTAATGGACACCAGAGCTTCCGGTTACCATGGAGTGAAACAGCGCAAACACCATTCCCAGCTGGCATGAAATGGAATCCCATGGTTTTACTATTCATAGCGCTGACATGATAAAGCTAAATTAAGCAGGACCTCTTCACTTTCTCAAACCCAAGAGCAGTGACTACCTCCACTGTTTAGCCTCTGCCAAGACTCTCATTTCACTGGGAAGAGGGGAAAGATATTTTCCTTTACGGCAAGAGAGACTCTAGAGGCACAAACCAGCCTGTCATCCAGAAACAAAATGGCACCTACTTGCTCCCAGGCATCACTTTGACTCCAGCAGGAACAGAGGAGACAAGATGAGTTCTTGTGCTGAACCTAACACCCTCTCCTCATCTTGGGACCCATTACAGAAACCCACACAGCCATTTTAAGCCATGCTCCCGGGGAATGTTTGCTGAACCAGAGTCTATCAGGCCAGGAACAGGGGTCAGCTCAAAGCACAAATAAGAGCTGTTATGCACAAGGTTAGACCTTGGTGCCTACCCGTAGCTGTTTACCCAGCCTTGCAGGATTACCTTGCACAAGCTCCCCAGGGAGCCAGAACAGTTTTTGCCCTCTTTCAATGCCTGTGGCCTGAACTGTATGGCTAAATATACAGCAGGAATCCTGCCACACAGAACTCCCTGTATCATTGAAATTCAGAGGAAACCATACGACCTAAACCCCATGTTACTGTTACTGTACTGGCACATCCAGCTCAGTATACTGTAAACTTTTCCAGATATGGAAAAAAGTTCAACAGCTATGGAGCTGCTTAAACTCTTAAGTTCTGAATGGCAAGTTGTCATTTTGCAAAGACAAAGGCCAGAGAGCTAAAAAAATACAAATAATCAAGCTTCTGGCAAAACGGCACTGTTCTTTTAGGGAGCCAGTGATACAACTACAAAGGGAACACCACAGTTCCACAATGAAAAGCATCCTCAGGCTTAACCAAGTTTGAAAGGCTTCAAACTAACTTGTCATGTGTGCCCCTCCCTGTGCCCACTAAAACACGAACAAGACATTCATAGTGCAGAGGATATAAAACAAAACCATACAGCAGGCTCTAAACAGAATGTAGACACAATCATAAGGTCCCAGGCTCTACAGAGGATCCCATGTCACAAATCCATGCGTTTTAGACAGCTCTCTGCAGTAACTGCATCAGTTTATCCTCTTATCTGCTGTTTGATTGTCTCACAAGGTCAGCCATAAGCTGAGCACCTACAAAGTGCCAGAGCAAGAGGATGGAGGGCCAAATGCTCCAGGAGAAAGCACCGTCGTGCTTAAACACTCTTTTTTCCCCTGTCTCTACAACACGCTCCCTTAAAGGCGACCTGAGAGGCTCAGCTCTGGAACATCTCTTTTCAAATGAATGCAGGTTACGCAATAGGAACCCAAGGAATAGATCTCCTCTTCAGCCACAGCACTCCAGGGCAGCAGCCACACAAAAGGCACATTAAAAACACACCCAAAACGTCACGTTGGCCATGCCACAACCACTGACATAACCACCTGCCTGTGCTCCTAGCGGGAAGGAATACTGCAAGGGCCCTTTGCAGAGAGTAACTGGATGATTTAATTGTCTGAGCTCTTAGGAAAGAGCATCCTGAAAACGCCCATTTGCTGATGTGACCCTGCAGCCTCTTATAGGAGCTCTGTGCTGCCACTGCTGCAGACGCAGCGGATAAAGGCTGCTCTCCAGCTGCCCATCAGCTGTAAGGCAACTTCTAAGGTTTTCCAAGATTATTTCAATGAACAACTCTGTTCTTATGCCGCAGCATCTGCCACATTATGGTATACTTAAGAAATGAGTATCCCACCTCTGCCTAGTCCCAAGGAAACGCTGTGGCACACGCACCACCACCCACTCCACGTCTAGGGCATCCTCACTCACTCTCACACACACACAAGGAAACAGAAGTTAAGCTGCGCCTCCCAAGGCCGATACACGGCTTATTCCAAACTTATCGCGTCACCTTCTGGCACTTAAATGCACTCAGAAAGTAACTCGGGAGGCAATTACAGCGACAATTACCTTGTGGAGACTCTGGACTATACTTATAGGGACTTCAAACGCATTCAAATCCCCTAAACAGCAACACTTAAGAAAACAAACCCTCATGAGCTCGGTGAAAACGACTCAGGGCTCACGCGTGCCTCTGTGCCACTGCAAAGCCCATTCCACCGCCTCCCCCGAGGTCCTGCCCAACTCCACTTCCACACAAGATGCAGAGTGGGAAACGCGAGTGGAGGGACCCGTCCCGCTGCACGCGCCCTGCGAGAACCACAGACGGCCGGGGCTCAGGGAGGACGCCGGCAGCGGACACAGCCCTGACCCCGCGACGAGAGGAAACCCTTGGGGGCGGCCCGAAGCGAACGAAGAACCTCCAGGAACGGGTGCAGAGGCCCGGGCGGAGAGCGGGAACCTGCGGGAAGGGGCTGGACCGGGGGGGGGGGGGGGGGGGGGGTGAGTCCCCGGAACAGGCCGCGGCGTGAGGCCCGGCCCGGCCACAAGGCCAAGGCGAGGGCGGCGCCGGGAGCGCAGCGATCGAGCCGCGCCCGGAGGGGTGGGGGGGCACCGCAGGCCGCGCCCGGCACATGGCGGCCAACGGGGGAGCAGGGTGGGCAGCGCTGAGGCCCGGGAGGAGACGGGGGAAGGGGGGGGGCAAAGCGCGGGCGGGCTGTGATGAGCGGCCGCGGAGGGCGCTCGGTGGGAGAAGGGGAGAGGAGGAGAAGGGGAGAGGAGGAGAAGAGCCGGCGGCGGAGGGACGGGACGGGCTGGGCCTACCCGTACTCACCGGGCCCCACTCCGCCCGCGGCCTCCTCAGGAGCCAGGCGCCTTCCACCTCCCTCTCACGCACTTCCGCTTCGCGCCCGCCCGCCGCCCGCCCTGGAGGCTGCCGGGAGCTGTAGTCCAATGCCCACGGAGTGCCCATTGGCTGCCAGCGGGAGCTGGACTACAACTCCCAGGGGGCACAGCGCACGGGGGCACGTCACCGCTCGCCCCGCTCCTCACGCCACGCGGAGGGTGCGGCTTCCGCCGAGGCGGAAAATGGCGGCGGCGGTGGCGGAGCTGGAGGCCGCTCCTCTCCCTCCGCGCCGGCCGGTTCCCGGGTGCTGCCCCGCAATGGGGGGGTGCAGGGCGGGCGGTCCCTGCCGGGGGTTAACCCGCCCCACCCCGAGCCCGGCCACCCGCGCGGTCCCCCCCCCAAGGACATCGAGGCGAGGCGAGGCGAGGGCAGTTGTCCACTTTATTGTTCGCAGAGGTTGTCTGGATGCATTAACACTGTCACAACGGCACGGAGAGCAGCGCGGCACCGCCCGGGCCCGGTGCGGGTGCTCCGGGGGCATGCGTGGGGACGTGGGCATGGGGAACAATCCCCCCCCCCCACACACACACTCTTCCCAGGCCGGGCTGAGCCTTCCTGCCTGAGCTGCGCACCCCAAACCCCCCTGCCCCACGCAGGGCCGGGCCAGGCGGCATCCCCCGTGTCTGGCCGAGCTCTATTTACAGTATTCACATACATTGTACCCAGCAAGTTAAATAACTACATTATTACAGCACACGTCTGGGGCGGCTCCGGCGGGGGGGGTGGGGGGGGTGTCTGATAAGGTGCATATTTAAAAAATGAAACAAAACTGAAAGAAGAACAAAGAACAAAGAGAGAAATCAGGCGTCCCCGCAGCGCCTCGCGAGGGTCCGCAGCGCCCGGCCCCCCCCCGCAGCACGGCAGGACCAGGAGCGAGGTGTTCTCTTCTGACAACAGCCACAGGTCCGGCTGCGTGGCGCAGCGGGGACACATCCCAGGGCCCGGCCTCACAGCACCTCTGCGGACAAAGGGGAGGTGTTGAGCTTGGGGTGGCCACAGCACAGCCCCGGCCCCACAACCCTCCCCTCTCTCACCTGTGACCTGGGGGGGTTTGACCACGGCCTGCTTGAGGAAGGGCTCCTTGTCACTGAAGGGGATGATGCTGCCGGGGCTGCTGCTGTGGTGGGAGAGCTCCAGCAGCTCCTTGGAGCCCTCCGGGCCCGAGAAGCCGTTCTCGTGCTTGCCGGGCTGCACGCCGTTCACCAGGGAGGCCGGGGCTGCCACCTCCTTGGCTTGGGAGCTGTGGGGCAGGGGAGCTGGGGTCAGCCAGGACCCTGCTGCCCCCCACTCCCTTCAGCCCATCCTGTGCTCACCTTGGCTGCAGCCCTTCACCCACCAGGCCCTTCAGCCCCCCCGGAGTCCCTGCGCTCGGTGTCTCCATCTCGGGGAGCTCCTCCTGCTTTGACATGGGCCCCGCGTGCTTCTCATGGCCTGGGGATGTCAGCAGAGCCCCCGCTCAGCCACAGCCCTGGCCAGGAGCATGGCTGGGACAGGAGCAGGCACCCCAAGGGGCAGCAGGGTGTGGGAAGGGGCCACGCACCGGGGACATCGTCCTGCTCGGCTGCTTTGCCATTCACCACCTTCTTGTCCTCCTTCTTCTGCAGGGAGAGCAGAGCCGTGAGGGGCAGTGGTGGCTCGGGGCAGGAGGGCTCCGCAGAGTCCCCAGTGTCCCGAGGTGCATCCGGACAAGGGACAAGCACCCACCTTGGCATCTGCTGCGTCAGATTTGCGCGTCCTCTTCATGATCTCCTCCAGGCGCTGCGGGGCAGAGAGGGGCTCATGCACAGCCCTCACCAGCCAGACCCGCCCTGGGCGCTGGGCAGGACCCTTGCAGGGACGCCCCTGCTGTGTCCCCAGCCCTCACCTTCTTCCTCTCCAGCCGCTCCTGCTCCTCACGCTGGAAGTGCTTCTCGCGCTCCAGCCGCTGCCGCTCAGCCTCTTCGCGTGCTCTGGCCTCGGCCTCTTCCCTCTGTGGCACAGCGGGGGGGCAGGGACGGATCAGACAGGGCAGGGATGGATAGGATGGGGCAGGGACAATGGGGACACGGTGCCCAGGCAGCTCAGCACAGCCCTGCCCTGTGTCCCCTTCCTCCACCCTGGGCATTAAGGCAAGGATGCCTCACACTAGACCCTGTCACCCAAGGCTCTGACCTTGAACACTGCCAGGGATGGAGCATTCAGCACTTCTCTGGGCACCCTGTGCCAGCGCCTCAGCACCCTCACAGCAAAGAATTTCTTCCTCATATCCAACCTAACTTCCCCTGTTTCAGTTTGAACCCATCACCCCTTGTCCCGTCACTGCAGTCCCTGATGAAGAGCCCCTCCCCAGCATCCTTGCAGCCCCCTTCAGGCACTGGAAGCTGCTCTGAGGTCTCCATCAGCTTCTCTTCTCCAGGCTGAACAGCCCCAGTGTTCTCAGCCTGGCTCCACACGGGAGCTGCTCCAGCCCCTGATCACCCATCCCTGCCTTCATCCCAATGCCACCTCTTCCTCCCCATCCCCACACCCCACACCTGTCTCTGCAGCCGCTCCGTCTCCTCCCGCTCCGCCCGTGCTCTCTCCTGGGCCTCCTGCTCCTCCTGCAGCCGCCGCTCCTCGTCCCGCTGCCGCGCCAGGGCCTCCCTGCGCGCCTGCTCCTCGGCCGCCCGCTGCGCCCGCTCCTCCTGCAGCCGCCTGCGGGGACGGGGCCCTCAGCACGGTGCGGGGGGGAGCGGGGCGCAGGGGATGGGGCCAGCACCCACCTCTGCTGCTCCTCCTGCTCCCGGCGCTCCCGCTCCTCCCGCTCCCGCTGCTCCCGCGCCTGGCGCCGCTTCTCCGCCAGCAGCCGCGCAGCCTCCTCCCGGTCCGTGGTGCCGGCGGGGGGTCTGCCCGGGGGGGTGGCTGGAGCCGGGCTGGGGGCTGCAGGGGCCGGGGGGGCTGTGGGGTGCACACAGCATCAGTGCTGCCCCTGCTCCCCCCAGCCCCGCTGCCCCCCAGCCACCCGGTACCCACCTGCTGCTGGCTCTGCGGGAGCCTTGGGGGGCTCGGGGAGGGCCGGGGGGGCCGGGCCCCGCTCCTCCTCCTTCTTGTCCCGCATCTTCGCCTGGCTCTCCTGCTCCCCCCGCTCCTCCCGGGCCCTGGCCCGCACCTTGGGAGAGGAGTGGGTGCTGCGGGGCAGGGGCGGCTTGTGGGGAGAGCCGAGAGCCGGGCTGGGGGACGCTGGACGGGTTTTGGGGGTGGCAGGGGACGAGGGACGGTTCTTGGGGCCGGGGCTGCAAACGGAGCAAGAGACGGTGTTAGCGGGGCTGGGGCTGCCCCCGTGGCAGCGGGGCGAGGGGCCGGTGGTGCTGGGTCCCTACCTGCTGTCGGCAGCGGGCAGGAGCCGGGGCTGTGCCGCCGGCAGCGTCTGCCGCTTCTTGAGGCTGCGCTCGCGGGACAGGGCGCTGCGCTCCTTGGCGTTCTCCCGATCCTTCTCCTTCTTTTCCTTCTTCTTCTGCTCCGGTCGGGCAGAGACAGAGACAGCGTCAGCACCGGGTGCCCGGCCCAACGAGGAGCCAGGCTGTGCCCCGCGGCCACGCTGGCACCGCAGGGGATGGCACTCACGGGCGACGCCTCGGTCCTGCGGCGCGGCGTCACGTCGGGGCTGGCCGTGGTCCCCTTCCGCCTGTCCCAGCAGCGGTGCTGCAGGCGGTGGTTGTGGCAGGGGCTGAGGGGGCTGGCGGAGGCCGAGCGGGGGCACACGGGCACTGGGGGCAGGAGAAAGCACCCCGTCAGGACGGAGGCACTCGGCACCGGTGCCGCTGTCACCAGGCTCCCTTGTCCCAGTGGCCGCGGGTACTCACCCTGCTCCTTGCCGTTCCCAGCCAGCGTCACGGCGCTGCGGCTGCGTGCGAGGAAGGACAGGGTGGGTGTCATCAGCCGGTCCACGATGCTGCTCTCCCATGGGCTAAGCTGCAAGCTCCGGTCTGGGGAAGGAGAGGAGCCGTTAGCACAGCTCTGAGCCCACAGGCAGCGGCCCCAGCCCGCTGCGAGGGAGCAGCCATGCGGTTGCAGCAAGGCCGGGGCACATGCACAGCCCCGGGAGTGCCCGAAGCTCTGGGCTGCGCAGGACCAGGGGCCATGCGGGCGCAGGAGTACGGGGGGTGCCTGAGCACCCACGGCACGGCGCAGCTACGTGACAACGACGGTGCCCCCCTGCCCCACGGTCACCCCAGCCACCATGCACCCACAGCGAGCGGTACCCACAGGGTGCAACCCTGCTGAGAGCAGCCCTGTCCGCTCTGGCCCTTTCCTTGCTGACGTGTCCCTTCCCTGTGCCCCCATCCCGGTGTGATCAAGCCCCCAGCACACCCTCACCCCAAGGGAGCTGTGCCAAAGTCACCGAACATGCTGCAGGAGCCAGGCCAGGCTCATGGCGCCCAAGGAACAGTGGTCCCCAGCCACGATACTGGCCCAGCAGGACGCATCCACTGGGCATCATCAGCACCAAACACCTCAGGAAGCACCCGCATTGACAAGGCCCCTCTGCCCCTTTCCACCAGGGCCCCACTTAGGGGTCCTGCTGCCAGGAGGGGAGAAAACAGAGCCATGGGTGCAGCGGGACTGGACGCCAGGTCCGGCACCGGCCCAAGGAGCTGCTGCTCCTACCCGTGCGGTGCTGACAGCCCCTGGGTGCCTGTCCCTGGGCTGAGCCCCCCCTGCACGGGGACATTGGGAGCTGCCTGCGTCACCAGCGCCCGCAGCCGCGCGCGTCAGCTGCTCGGGCTATTTATAACCAGCCATCACCAGGCAACTCCGAAACACAACAGCAGCGCCGGCGCTGGACGCATCCCTCCGGCGCAGAAGTCAGCCCCCGGCAGCTCGCAAGGGCCGGGACGACCTCGCAGCACCCGACGCAGCGTCGCACCCATGGGCACCCAGCCCCTGTTGGGGACAGGCGACGCGGTGGCACCAGCCCCAAGGAGGGTCTGGTGACCCTGTGCAGCTGCATCTGCACCCAGCAGAGCTGCCCTGGGGCAGGGAGCCAGGGCTCCCGTCCCCATCCTGGCGCCCCACGGGGCTGCCAGCACCTCCTCATCCTCCTCCTCCTCCTCCTCGCAGCCTGCACACAGCCTCAAGGAGCCTCCTCCTGCAAACAGCAAACGGCTTCTCCTCTCTCCGCGGGCACCGTGCTGCAAGGCAGGGCCTGGGGACGGGGGGGACCCTGGCCTCGGGGGTCCCCAGTGCTGCGCTGGGGCAAACACAAAGGGCTCTTACTTCTACTGGGAGAGTTCCAGAGGGTGGCGGAGGATTTGGAGAGCCGCTTGTTGATTATAGAGTCGACGTGTTTGGGGAGGTTTACAGCGGACACCGAGCACCGGCTCGCACCTGGAGAAGGGAAAAGACACAAGGGCATTAAGGTCCCGGGGCTGGGGCTGGGCCCCCCACATGCAGCATGCACGGCCGTGCCGGGGCACCGGGGCAGGAGGATGCAGCACAGAGAGTGGGACCAGGAGATGCTGGTGTCCAGGAACACGACACATGGCACTGGCATCCGGCATGGTGCGGTGCCTGCGCGAGCCCCAGGGGGGTCATGCTGGGATCATGCAGGGATCTCATCCTTTGGGAGCCAGGGTGGCTTCAGGGCCCTGCTAAAAGGGTGTCCCCAAGAGCAGTCCTGGGAGCTGGGAGGCCAAGGACCTTGGCAGCACCGGGCGAGCGGGTTGAGGGCAGCAGGTCCAGACACACAGAGGAGAGCGCTGACACCGGTGCTGCGTCACTATGGCAGTGCCAGGAGGGTGCTGGTGGCCGGCACCACCTCCACTGGGCTCCTCTGGAGAAGATGGCCTGGGCAGCTCCCTGCTGGTGCAGGTGGCAGCAGGACCCTGGTGAGTGACAGTGCTGGAGAATGTCCCAGGGAGAGCAGGCAGGGGAAGGTGTCCCCTTGCCAGAGCGTGCCAGGCACTGCACCATGGACACAGAGGCCTGTCCCAGAGTGTGCCACAGCCGGACACACGGCACCAGGACACGCAGCCCAGACAGGCGCAACCAGAACACAGCGCCTGTACACTCAGCTTGGCCAGGCACAGCTGGGAACGCAACACCTGTACACATGTGGTGCCGGTACATACAGCCCGGCACACAACACCTGTACACATGTGATGCCGGTACATACAGCCCGGCACACGACACCTGTACACATGTGATGCCGGTACATACAGCCCGGCACACGACACCTGTACACATGTGATGCCGGTACATACAGCCCGGCACACAACACCTGTACACATGTGGTGCCGGTACATACAGCCCGGCACACAACACCTGTACACACGTGGTGCCAGTACATACAGCCTGGCACACAACACCTGTACACATGTGGTGCCGGTACATACAGCCCGGCACACAACACCTGTACACATGTGGTGCCGGTACATACAGCCCGGCACACAACACCTGTACACACGTGGTGCTGGTACATACAGCCCGGCACACAACACCTGTACACATGTGGTGCCGGTACATACAGCCCGGCACACGACACCTGTACACATGTGATGCCGGTACATACAGCCCGGCACACAACACCTGTACACATGTGATGCCGGTACATACAGCCCGGCACACGACACCTGTACACATGTGATGCCGGTACATACAGCCCGGCACACAACACCTGTACACATGTGATGCCAGTACATACAGCCCGGCACACAACACCTGTACACACGTGGTGCCGGTACATACAGCCCGGCACACAACACCTGTACACATGTGATGCCGGTACATACAGCCCGGCACACAACATCTGTACACATGTGATGCCGGTACATACAGCCCGGCACACGACACCTGTACACATGTGATGCCGGTACATACAGCCCGGCACACGACACTTGTATACATGTGGTGCCGGTACATACAGCCCGGCACACGACACCTGTACACATGTGGTGCCGGTACATACAGCCCGGCACATGACACCTGTACACACGTGGTGCTGGTACATACAGCCCGGCACACAACACCTGTACACATGTGGTGCCGGTACATACAGCCCGGCACATGACACCTGTACACATGTGGTGCCGGTACATACAGCCTGGCACATGACACCTGTACACATGTGGTGCCGGTACATACAGCCCGGCACACAACACCTGTACACATGTGGTGCTGGTACATACAGCCCGGCACACAACACCTGTACACATGTGATGCCGGTACATGCAGCCCGGCACACAACACCTGTACACATGTGATGCCGGTACATACAGCCCGGCACACAACACCTGTACACATGTGATGCCGGTACATACAGCCTGGCACACAACACCTGTACACATGTGGTTCCGGTACATACAGCCCGGCACACAACACCTGTACACATGTGATGCCGGTACATACAGCCCGGCACACGACACCTGTACACATGTGGTGCCGGTACATACAGCCCGGCACACAACACCTGTACACACATGGCACTGGTACACACAGCCTGGCACACAGCGCCAGGCATGCACTGTACACATGTGGTGCCAGTGCACATAACTTGGCCAGGCAGGCACAGTGGGGCAGATCCTGCTCCCCTCTATGCCTTGCACACATCAGGCAGTGCCAGCACCCACCTGCATGTCCCTGTCCCCTTGGCAGTCAAGGGACAAGGGAGACCTCCACATGCCCAACCCCGGTGCCGAACCCCACGCAGTGTCCCCCAGACACCCCACTGGAAGGGCTGAGTGTCGGCTATGGGGCAGTGGCACAGCTGAGCCTCCAGCAGCCACCTCAGGGCATGGCACAGCCACGCACACCCGGGCACAACGCAGCCAGGCAGGAACAAGGGGACATGCTGCAGCACAGCCCCCAGTGAGAGATGGCCACAGCCTCGCCCAGCTCCACAGCCCATGCCTGGCTCCTCCGGCTGCTGGAGACCCGGGCAGCACAGCCACAGCATCCCACAGGCAGCCAGGGCTGTCCACAGGCACATCCCCTCACACAACAGTGACCACGCACAGCCTCCAGCTCACCCCAACCCTGTGACAACAGGGAAAAGCCAAGGGACACCGAGGGTCCCCATCAGGCCCTGGCACAGCCCAGGGTGACAGCAGCACGGCCCACAGCAGCATGGGGCTGAGCTGGGGTTTGGGGTCTCACCCTCCTTGCACAGAGCACTGCAGAGCCATGCCCAGCCGGCACAGAGCCACAGGGCCCCGGTGCCCGCACCCAGCCCGGCACTCACCATCCTTGTGTGCAGGAGAACCGTGGTGCAGGGCTCCAGCCCAGGACCACCGCTGCTGCCGGATCTCTGCCCACGTCTTCTTGACCGATCGCTGGATCGCTGCCTCGTAGCGCTCCTGCCCGAGGGAGAAGGACAGGGTGAGGCCAAGGGCTTGGAACATGGGGCAGAGGCTACCACATGCCGGGAGGCTACCACAATGATGGGATGCTTGGAGGAGATGTGGAAGTGATGCCTGGCCCAGCCAGGGCACATGTGCCCAAAGAGCTGGGTACCACAGAGGCTCTGCACCATAAAGGATGAATGAAAGATGGGCATGGTGGGAAGCTGTGCCTAAGGAGCTGGGTACCACAGAGGCTCCGCTCCATAAAGGATGCATGGAGGGCACGGTGGGAAGCTGTGCCCAGAGAGCTGGGTACCACAGAGGCTCTGCACCATAAAGGATGAATGAAACATGGGCATGGTGGGAGGTGCCTAAGGAGCCGGGTACCACAGAGGCTCTGCACCATAAAGGATGCATGAAGGACGGGCATGGTGGGAAGTGCCCAAAGAGCTGGGTACCACAGAGGCGCTGCACCATAAAGGATGCATGAAGGACAGGCATGGTGGGAAGTGCCCAAAGAGCTGGGTACCACAGAGGCTCTGCACCATAAAGGATGCACAGAGGACGGGCATGGTGGGAAGTTGTGCCTAAGGAGCTGGGTACCACAGAGGCTCCGCTCCATAAAGGATGCATGGAGGACAGGCACGGTGGGAAGTGCCCAAAGAGCTGGGTACCACAGAGGCTCTGCACCATAAAGGATGCATGAAGGACAGGCATGGTGGGAAGTGCCCAAAGAGCTGGGTACCACAGAGGCTCTGCACCATAAAGGATGCACAGAGGACTGGCACAGTGGGAAGCTCCCAAAGTGGCTGCTGGAGCCACTGGGTGAGCCCGGGGAGCGCATCCCCGTCCCCATCCCCACCGCACCCGCAATTCCCCATCCCCACCTTGTTCTTCTCCAGCTTCTGCCTCTGCCGCTCCTCCAGCACCGCTCGGCGCTTCTCCGCCTTCAGCCGCTGCTCCTCCAGGCGCTTGCGGCGCTCCTCCAGCTGCTTCTCCCGCAGCAGCCTGGCCTTCTCCTCCTTCTCCAGCCACAGCACCCGCTTGGCGGCTGCAGGATGGAGCCGTGGCGGCGGGGTCACACCCGAGGTGCAGCCCCGCTGATCCCCGCACTGGGCACCCGTGCCCATGCCAGTGGCGTGGGGCTGAGCGCTGCCTGCGCCCGCAGCACCCGGAGCACGCGGGGCAGGCGGCATCGCGGGGCCGGCGAGGGAGGGGTTTGGGCAAGGACAAAAGGGAGGCCGGGAGCCCGCGGAGCGAACAATGGGGGAATGAGGGTGGAAAGAGCGCGGGGACGAGGAGGCCCCATGCGCCGCGCAGGGGCCCGGCACCCCGAGCTGCTGCCGCCTGCACACAGAAGAGCTGGGCGCTGCGCTGGGGGGACATGCACAGATCGGGGGGGGGCACCCATGGACCCGGCGGCACCCATGGACCCGGGGGCACCCATGGACCCAGGGGCACCCGCACCATGCGGAGCAGCAGCAACACGGCGATGTGCTGGGGGTGCAGCGCTGCCCGGGCTCAGCTCATTGCAGTTAATGGGATTGCCCGTGACCCAGCAAAGCTCCTTAGCTCTTGCCTTCCTCCACCATCCACTTTCCCTCCCGGCACACACCCGGGATCCGGAGCCCTGCTTCCCACCCCACTCCCCAGCCCCGTACCCAGGTACTTGGCTCGCTCCTCGCGCCGCTCCTTCGCCTGCTTGTGCCTCGCCTGCGCTTTCTGGGTATCTGCAGTGGGGAGACACCATCAGAGCAGCTCCCATGGGGTGCCAGCATCACCACAGCCCCCCTGAGCCCTCCAGCACCCACCTTGCTTGGGCCTGGGGCTGGCGGCACTTGCTGGCGAGGCTGCAGCTGCGGTGGGGCGGTCGCTCCGGGGGGGGGCATCCTTCGAGGGCCCGGCTGTGCCACACACGGGGGTCTTGGCATCGGGGGGGGGGCCTTCACCGGCAGCTGGGGCCGGGGGTTCGCTCCCGTGGGGCAGGGTCTCTGCTGGGCAAGGGGCAGCAGCGTGGATGGGGACGGGCTGGCTGGGGGCAGGGGGTGATGCCTCTGCTTTGGGGGGCTCTGTCACGGGCGGGGGGGGCTTGGGCAGGGACTGAGGGGAGGCACTCTCTGCTGAGGGGGCTGCAGGGCTGGGGGACCCGGGCTGTCCTGGTGGCGTGGCGGCTGCAGGGATGGGGTGGTCACGCTGCGGGGGGGTGCTCCCGGAGGGGGGTGTCACGGTGGGGGCACCGATGGGGTGCTTGGGGGGGGTCAGGGCTGCAGGGGCGGCTGAGACGAGCTCTTCCGAAGGGGTGATGGTGGCAGGGATGGGAGACAGGGGCTGCGCCGAGGGGAGCACGGCTGCAGGGACGGGCAGGTCACGCTGCGAGGGGGTGCGCTCTCCCTGCAGGGCACCCCCAGGCGAGGCGGGGGGGACGACGCTGTCTCCCATCGGGGATGGTGGCTTCCCTGGAACACAGCAGAGCAGAGCAAACAGTCAACGGCAGAGCCTGGGGCAGCCCTGTGCCCCCCGACACGGCCCTCGGGAGCAAGGCTGTCCCCGCAACAAGCCCTGCCGCTGCCCCGGTTTTGGGGGGCTCCCCCGCCGGGTGCCAGGCGCAGGATGCACAATGCACAGAGGGACCGGCCGGCGCTGCACCAGGCACCGCTGCCACAAAGCCGCCCTTCTTCCTCTGCCAGCTGCCACCCAGGCCCCGCGGGGCTGGGGACCCACGGCCGCCGTCCCCGGAGGATGCGGAACCGCTTCCGCCGGCGCTGGCCCCGTGGATGGAGCAGGATGGGCTCGGGCTCCGTGCCCTGACATCACCGCCGTGGCCCATGTCCCCCCGCGCCGCGCCACGGCCGGGCCCACGTGCAGCCATGAACTCATGGCCCAGGAATGCACGCGAGGACACGGCTGCGGCCGGCACGAAACAGCCCCCTCCTCGCGTGGGGCTCGCTTCCCGCATGGGGCAGGTGAGGGGCACCCCAAGGGAGCAGCACTGGGATCGCTCCCTGCCGCCGCCAGCCCGTGGGGACACCGGGTCTCCATCCCTAGCACCAGTGTGTGCAGTGGTGCCACAGCACGTGCCTTCTGCAAGCGTGGATGCGCCGTGACCGGCAGTGGTGATGCCCCCGACCCCCATCAACCAGCCCTTTGCAAACACACCTTCGAGCATGTGCCAAGCTCCCAGCCCCACGCCCCATCGTCATTCCTGAAGGGAATGATGCCCAATCCACTCCAGGGCCACAGGCACCCGGCTCCAGCCGCCTGGGCAGCACTGCAGTGCCTGGCCCCAGCTCCGGTGGTGTGCGGTGACCACACCGGTGACCGCGGGGCGATATCAGACACGGGGCTGAGCCGTGTTTGCAGAGCTCTCCACAGTCATCAGCGAGGGGCAAAGTGTGGGCTCTGCAAACACGGCCCGGCGCCGCTCCTCACCCCACTGCAGCAGCCCCAGGCACCGCCAGCCCCGCTCCGTGCCATAGGCATGGCTGCACCCCAGTCCCGTGGACACAGCACCCACAGCAGCGCCCGCCTGCCCACGGAGGGGCTGGGGTCCTGCTGCAGCCCCATAGCACGCTGCGGGGCTCCTGCCTGCAGGGTTTACCCCTCCCCATGCTCTGCAGGGGACTCATCCAGCCCCGGCCCCCCCGCAGACCCCGGCAGCCTTCCGGGTATTTTCTGCTGCAGGAAGCCAGCCCATCCCCTGGCCCCGATCCTGCACATCCCATATCCCCATTGCTGCACCCTCCACATCCCCATTGCTGCACCCTCCACATCCCCATCGCTGCACCCCCCACATCCCCATCGCTGCACCCCCCACATCCCCATCGCTGCACCCCCCACATCCCCATCGCTGCACCCCCCACATTCCCATTGCTGCACCCTCCACATCCCCATCGCTGCACCCCCCACATTCCCATCGCTGCACCCCCCACATCCCCATTGCTGCACCCCGCGGCGCAGACATCAGCTCATGTGTGCCTGGGGAGGTGTCGGGGCTGCAGTTAGGGGCTCCCCTGCCCCGGCCCCGATCAGCACCCCCAGGACAGGGGGCTTGGCAAGCACCAGCTCTAAGGACAACACCCGTGGTGGCACCACGCGTGTCCCAGCCGGGAGAGGGGACCCTCGGGGTGCTGCCCGTGGGGACGAAGCACCAAGGCCAGGCTGGTGCCCCGAGCAGACAGAAATGTCTCCGGAGCCCTGGATGTGCAGGGAGCAATGCTGGGGGATGGCGGGAGCCTCCGGCCACCCTGCGCCATGGGGCACACACAGAGCCCTGGGCAGGATCCATCCAAGGGGACAGCAGTGCCCATGGCCAGGGCAGGGCTGCCTGCGCAGGCTGGGGCCAGCCCTGCTCCATCTGTCCCTGTCGCTGCTCCAGCACGGCAGCTGCCCTGAAACCCAACGCTGCCTGCGCCCGGGGGGCGCGGGCGTCCCCTGTCCCCTGCCCGCGGCATTCCACAGGGATTAGCTCCCGGCCCCCCAGACGTGCAGGCACGGCTCCCCCGCAGCCCCCAGCCCGGCCGAGCCTGCGCAGCGCTGGTCCCACTGGAACCAGCCATGGGGCTGCCCCTCGACGCCCGTCACCCAGCGCATCCCAGCCCATGCCATGGGTCCCTGTGGCACCAGCGCCACCGAGCACCACCAGCACCTCCAGCCCGGCACTGCCCCGTGGCCAGCACATGGCTGGGGATGCTCAGCCAGGCAGAGGCAAATCCCTGGTGCTGTGAAGCGAGAGCACATCGAGGCCCTGCAGGGCGCTCTGGCCGAGCAGCCTCCGATACCCGTCCGCTGCGCATCCCTGCGGGGCACTTCCCATGAGGACGGGGCGGGGGGGGGGCACCCGCCTGCTTTAACCTCTGCTCCCCCCATCCACCGTAACCTCAGGTCCCCGCTCTGCGGCACGACTGGGGGCTGCTCCACGTGCAGTACCTGCCCTGGGATGTGGGCATCGGATGGGGCCCATCGTTACCCCAGGAGGAGAGGAGAGGAGAGGAGAGAGGGGCTGGTGGGTGCAGCGTGGCCACTGCAAAGCCACCCACTGGGGCTGGTGTCACTGCGCGCAGCCCACCCTGGCCATGGCACATGGGATGCCCAGGGACAAGATCCCGAGGGGAGCCACAGCCCTCAGACCCACCACTGGCTCTGCAGGGCTGCTCCCCATAGCCCATGGTGCATCCGTGGGCCCTTCCCAGTGCTGTCAATGATCCCACCCCACCTCCCCATGTCTCAGATGTGCTTCAGAGCTGAGCCCTACCTGGTCCCACCCAACTCCCGGGATTCCTGGGCACTGCAGCACCTGGATGACAGGGGTAGTGAGCAAGCATCCCTGGCACATCCCCAGCACAACCCCAGCACGTCCAAGCCTTGGCTCACACGCATGGGCAGGGAGACACGGGCAATGCTCTGAGCAAGCACCAGCAGCCCGCACCGCAGGGGTGGTCAGTGTCCCCCTGGCAGCCACCAACAGCAGTGACACCCCATTCCCCATGGAAGGGGTCCCTTGGGGGTGCTGCCTACAGCCACTCGCACCCTGGCCCCAGGCAGCATGAGGGCTGTATCCTGAGGCTGAGCTCAGGCTCAGAGCCAGCAGAAAGCAGCCGGGGCACGTCAGGCATCGTCCCATGGCACTCCATACACTGCTCTCAGATCCAGGGACAGACATGGGCAGGGCAGGAGGGGCACAAGGGAGGGCACAGGCAGATGCCCACAGTGGGTACCAGGCAGGAGGAAGGGGCACGATGGGGCACTGCCCGCCCGGCTGGGGCCACGCTGCCTTTGCACCAGCTCCTGGCAGCACTGGTTTGGCCCGGGGCTGCACCCACTGCTCCATGCAGCACTGCATGGGGGTCCCAGACCCTTCCAAGGGCACATGGAGGCAGCCCTGGGGGATCCGCGCCAGCCTCCAGGCCGTGGCAGAGGCCACCAAGCTCATGTGGCACAGCACCGCGCCAGCAGTGAATGTGCCAAGCCAGGGAGCAACAAGGGGAACTTGGGAGATAGGATCTCGTGGCCAGAGCTGGGGGGTTTCCAGGGTTTAAAATACACAGGGAGGGAAGGGCCGGGGCTGCTGCTGCACCCCAGCACCCGCACAGCCCAAACAGAGCGAGGGCAGCACCTGCCCGTCATCCATCTGGGCAGCACCAGTGCGACAAGAGGTGCCCTCGTCCTTGGGGCGACCTGCACAGAGCCGCGCTCCCGAAATCCTGTCTGCCAGCATCCCACTGGGCCAACAGAAACCTGGCCCCAAGGCAGGGCACGGGGCAAGCCCAGCGCCGCCAAAACCAGGTCCTGAGCCTCGCAACGTGGATGCAGGCACCTACCGGGGCTGGGGCCGTGCAGGATCCGGCTCTGTGGTGTCCGTCCCTGCTCGCAGCCCTGCGACAAGCGAGAGCTGCGCTAACTATTTTGGACACGGCACCACGGGACTGTCACATCCCCGCTCCCTCCGCACGTCGCATCACGTTGCTCTGGTGGCTTCACAGCAGCAGCTCTGCTGGCATCCCTGTGCTGCGAGAGCTCCCGAGCCGCCTGCTCCCAAACACAGGAGCTGGCTGGCACCCAGCTCACCCTGCACCCTCCCTCTCCGCTGTGCAGGAGGGAATGGGGCTGGAGAAGCCAGGGGAAACATGGACAAGGGCAAACCTGCTCCCTGCCTTGGTCCTCACCCCTGTGCCCATCCGCAGGGCAACATCCCAGCCATGCAGCTCCATGGAGCCACACTCTCCTCCTGCCCCCCTAGTGCCACCAGCTGCCCCACACTGCTGTGGGTCCCAGTCCCTGGAGTGAAACCCCATCCCTGCTGGCAGCCAGGATACAGCACACAGGGGAGTGCAGGGGCTCCAACCCACGCTGGGAAGCAGGACAGGGAGCAGCCTGGCCTGCCCGGCCACGCCGGCTGCCCAAACGAGAAGGCTCAGGGATGGTCCCTGGAGCGGGATGTGGCGCATGAACATCCCAACCCCATCCTCTCATGGTGCAGCAGCCAAAGTCCCCCTGGTACCAGGGAACCAAACCACCGGGCAGCGACGGCATGGAAGGGGAAGGCCAGGCCGGGGCGGGCTGCACACACAACATGTCTGCAGCGCGGAGGGGACCCGCACCCGCTCCGTTCGGATAAAGGGCGAGCGGCGCTCGGCATCGCTGGGCTTGCGAGGGCCCGGGCGGCCACGGGCGGTGAATCACGGCGCGGCGGCGGGCACCGGGGCCGAGGGGGAAGGGAACTGCCTCTCCTCTTCCTCCATCGGTGGGAAGCGGCTCCGCCACCGAGCTGTGCTTAGTCACAGCCGAGAGCGGGTGGCCCAGTGGGACCAAAGAGCGCTTGGCTGGAGCCCTGCGGCGGAGAAGAGCCGAAACAAACCCCAGCCCCGGGACTCGGCCCCGCCGGCTGCCGCCCGCCCCGGTTCGCCGAGCCGAGGGCCGGTGCTGGGGTTCATCCCGGGGCAGCGCCGGGACTGGATGGGCCGGGACATGCCCGGGACATGGTGGGGGCGAGCGCGGGCAAGTGGGGCGCAAAACCGGCACCCCTCAACCCACCAGCACCTCCGCTCGCCCAAGAGGTGACCCCAGCGCGGACCCCCGGCCACCAACACCCCACAACACGAGCGCTGCAAGCAGAGCTGCGGGACCGGCACCATAGGGAGCAGCGGGGCCCTGCCCGCCGGGACCCCCGGCAGAGAGGCTCGGGTTGCGGGAGGCTCAGGACCAGGCCGGCATCGCCCTCCGGTTGGCGAGGACGAGCCCGAGCACGGGCAAGCGCCGCCGCCCCGGTTCCCCCCCCCCCACCCGCCATGGCGGGGCCGCGCCCGGGAGGGCTCCCCAAGGGCAGTTCCCCCGACGGGGCCGGGGTCCACGCCGCTCCGGCCCACCCCAAGATGGAGGGGCCGTGCCCGGGCTTTGTCCCTCCCGGGAAGCGGCCCCGGGCTCCTCCACCGCCTCCGGGCCCCCGCCAGAGCGGCTCCGCGGGCGGCCCCGCCG